GGTTGAGAATAGATGGGATGCGGTTCACCCGGGAAGAGTTGCTTGTCGTAATCCCTGGAACGATATCTCTTCGGGTTATCCTGCCTTTTTACAGTGTTGTGATCTGGTTGTGGGTAAGGGGAATTTGGTGTTGTTCTGGGATTTGTGGCTGGTCGACGGTGCTTTGAAGATTTTTTTCCTAGACTGTATGCGCTTTCTAGCAATCATTTTGGCTGCGTTTCTAGTTTTGTGGATTCTTATGTCCACCCCTATAATTGGAATTTCGGCTTGAGGAGAAATCTTAACGGTGGAGGTGGATGAGTTGTCTAGGTTGCTGCATATTCTGGAAAGGGTGCGTTTGTTTCAACCCATGATGACCGTAGGAGCTGGAAGCTCGATAGGACGGGGTTGTTTTCTTGCAAATCCTACAATTTTTTTCTGCTCAACAGTGGCAGCAGGCAACTTTCATTGTTCTTGCCCCAGATTTGGAAGTCAAAGGTTCCCCCAAAAATTAAATTTCACGTATGGCTCCTGGCACTTGGGAAGCTTAATACGTGTGATCAAATCCAAAGGAGAAGGCCTTCCTTCTATCTTTCTCCTCAGTGGTGTGTTTTGTGTAAATCTCATTTGGAAAGCGTGGATCATGTGTTTCTTCATTGTCCTTTTTCCTTACAAGTCTGGTGGAGTTTATTTAGGGAGTCCAGCTGGGTTATCCCTAAAGACTGTTTTGATTTCCTGTGCACTAAGTTTGAGGCTTTGGGTAGGGGGAAGAAAGCCACAACTTTATGGGAGTGCTTGGTGTATGCTGGTTTTTGGAATATTTGGCTGGAGCGCAACAGAAGAATTTTTTATGATTATCAGGAAGAGGGTGTCGAGGAAATCTGGAAGAAGGCTAGATATTGGGCTTCAGTTACCCCAGTTTTTAAGGATTATAACCCTTCTGTCATCATGTTGGATTTAGTGGCGGCTGTGAAATAAGGGTGTTTCCTTCTTTCATGTTGCCACTTTTCTCTTCTTTTCTGTTTATTTTCTTTTGGTTTTTTTGAGGCTGCTTTTGTGTTTTGTTTTGCCTGGCTGTGGATGCCTTATACGCCTTTTTTATATATCGTTTCTATTAAAATAAAAAATAAAAAATTTGTCATGCATTAATTTGTTTTCCATACTCCGACATGCAGTTGCTCATAGAAGAATCATGATATTATATTTTGTTGTGCCAATAAATTAGTAGACCTGACATTGTTTATTTTCTATATAATGGCCATGGATACCCTGTTGACTTGCGTGGATTTTATGACAAAGTGGTAAATGATTCGATCCTTCTATTATGTTTTTATCAGAAGGTTACTTAAAATCAAACAGATAAGAGAAATACATCACTACTTCACCTTTCATCTTAAAATTGGTTGAGATTCCAGGGCAGATGTTTCCTATACTTTTGTAATAACAATAGATAAATTGTTGGTGAATATATTTGACAGTCCTTGATACTGAGAAGTAATCAAAATTGTCTTTTTTGAGTTCTGAGGCATAGTGGGTTTTATCCCATGCTTGTCTGCCCTGATCAGTTTGTTCTGGGAAAAAGATAACTTAATCATGGACCTGATAAAATTTATGGATTTTTTCATTAGCTATGCATTAATGCTTGCTCATGCAGTAATTTTTTCCATACTCTAATTATGGTGCGCCATGCAGCTGCGTATAGAAGAATCATCATATTATTTCTTGTTATGCCTCTAAACTAGTAGATCTGATGTTTATTCTATCTGTAGAATATCGCTGGATCCAGATTGGACAAGTTGGGAATTCACAAGACGGTAAATGATTCGATCCTTCTATTTTGTTTGAATGTAAATGTCTGCACTTAGTTCAGTGATGTAATTTCTCATGTGTTTGACCTTTTCTTTCTAAATTTGGCTTGTAGTTCTTACCATATCCTAATTAATAATTCAGAAAAGTATAAACAGGCTATGCTTATCTGGGAAATGGGGGTTAAGCTTTTTGTTCAAGCTGTGTGAATATATTTCTGCCCTGTTTTTTATCTTAAAATGGAATATTACTCTGCTGATGTGTGCATTTTGCTGCAGCCAACATTCCATTGCTATCTAAAAGGGGAAAGGGTAGATGAGGTTTCCAATGCTTCTATCAAACACTTGAAAATGTCTACAAGTAATTCTTCTCTCGGTTACCCTACTTCTGTGTGAATTTGTGTATTTGTGAATGGAGTCATATTTCGGTGCCCATTAAGGTTTTTGACTGTTTTTGAAGTCAAGATGTGATCTTTCTATATGTTTTTGTTTCTATCTTTGTGATAAATGGACGAATGATATAGCAAGTTACTAAACTGACCCTATTGTTGAATTTTCTCATCTGCTGTACTTGCAACTCAATGTACGTAAAGTCCATCCTGGATGAAGAAAAGGAGAAGACAAGGTAAGAAAGATGAGAATAATGGAGGATTTGTTGCGGTACTTCCAAGTGTGTTTCCTGAAACATCGTTTCTTGAGATGAGGGCCGAACTTGGACAAGTAATTTTTTATTTTGATGATGAGGAAAAGATGACAGATGATGAGGATAAGATGCCAGATGATGAGGACAAGAGGGCAAAGGACAAGATGTTGTGGTTTGCGAAAGGGTTGTTTTCAAGTAAAAAGAAGAGAGAGATGTTTTGTAAATTGAAAGATCCTGAAGCCAAGCGCGAATGGCTTAAGAGTGAAATGGCTAAGGAATGAACTGGAAGTACTTGTGTCATGGTACATGTTACGTTGTTTGACTCTGTCTGTGGTTTAGACTTGTGTGGTGCTGGATTAAGATATCCTTTTTTTTTTTGTTTTATAGCCACTTCTAGCATCAATATTATTAAGATATCCTTTGTTTTTCGAATTATTAAGATATCCTAATTCATCAAATTTGGAGAAGGCTTAAATGTCAAAATGGTGCATGTGTTACTCAATTGGTCAATTTAGTCTCAGTGTTTTACACTAGTTAGCTAATATTGTTCATTCTGTCAAATTAATGTTAAAAAATTAGTTTAAAAAATTAGAAAAATTAGGTATTAAACATAATTAACTTTACTAATTAGTATTTGACACATTGGGTATTTTAGTTTGGGTTTTAATACCTAGGAAAGAATTGTTATTTTGGATTAGGCCAAAGAGGAGGCTTAGATTCGTTGGACCTGTCTAAATTATAGAGATAAAATACAATTTTATCCTTTTTTTTAAATACTTCAACTGTGACATTCTTACTAACTTTAGCTGACGATAAAACCTAGAAGAATACAGGGATTTAGTGCCTGAATAACAAAAAATGGCGAGGAAGTCAGGGATTTTGATAGGACATTTGTTTGGCAATTGGAGCAACCCCTGTGCAGGTCTTCTTCGTCATCGTCGTAAGCTTCTTCCTGCAAGTTACAGGTAATATTTTTCTATTTTGATGATGTCGAGTACATTTTATGCTGGTTTAGACTAGATTGAAGTGGTGTTTGTTTGGATTGGGAAAGAAAAGTTGGGACAAACAGCACTTTTCTGTAATTTTATAAGGGCCTCGCCTAATCAATGCCCTCCTGCTTTACACGCAGACGCAGTGAAGGGATGGAAATAGCAAATCCAAAATCCAACTCGGCGGCCATACCTAAACTTGCTTGTGTGTGTGTGTGTATAATTTGAGAAATTAAAGTTTGTAGATCTAATGGTTGAATAGATAACTTGGGTAAGAACTATGATGCCGCGGATCCTCCCCTATATATATTGTATTACTTTTTCACGTGTACTTTTATGTAGTTTGTAATATATATCTGGTAAGTTCTAATTAGTTCAATTTTATCAATCAAGCCATTTCTTATGCCTTTTCAACTTATTTTTGGTGTATTCTTCATGTGCAGATTCTAGTTATGAGCTAGCTTTACTTTCGCGTCCCTTGAGGATGAAATTCCCACATGTAACCATATATAAGATTATCAAGCCTCCTGTGGTGTGTCATGTAATCTGGCCTTCTCTTAACTTGAATCATTTTGGAACTGTTTTAGTCTTATTGTGAAGTGCTTGAATCCCATCTTAAGGTGAAAACAACATACGGATCTTAATATTAATAATATAAATATAAATATATGTATATTTCTTTTAAATTGATGGTGTTTTGGTTACAGTAGTTTAGCTGCTTCTTTTCTTTTTTTTCACTTCCTAGCTTGGTTGAAAGTAAAGTTCCTTTTTAAGACAAGGAGTACACCACAACATGAAAGAAAAATTATCTCACTATCGCAAATCTAAACTGGTAAAACTTTTATCTTTTACTTTCCAAATACAGTTTGGATCCTTGTACGCTTACACCTTGCATCTTGACTGGATGCATGTATGTTGTTTTGGTAGGGATTCTAGCGAAGCAAATTGCCTTTACTTTTGTTATCCTAAGAGAAAAATTATTGGCGAATATAATTTTACAGTCCATGATGCTAAGAAATTAAGTTTTCTTGCTGGAGTTTCCTAGGACAGTTGTCATGACATCAAAATGCTTAGTGAGACCACGCATTCCATGACCCAATAAATATATGCTGCACACCTTTGCATAATTTTCTTTTTCTTTCTTTCTATCTGCATCAGTTCTCCTTATTACATTAAAATTGATCTAACAATAAAGCCAATGTTTGCATTTTGCATTCAACAATCTTCGTTTGTTTTATAGGCGCAGAAGGTATATCTCTCCTTGCATGCTTACCTGATTTACATGCGTTTTGAATAAAACATAAATGGTGTACCTGATAAAAACTAATGAATTTTCATTATCTACTCGTTAACTGTGTGCTTGTCTAGTAATTTTCTCCACTGTTAAAATTATTCGTCATGCAGCTGTTTATAGAAGAGTTATGGTATTATATCATGTTATGCCTCTAAATTAGTAATCCTGACATTGTTTGTTGATCTATAGGCGAACATGGAAGAAATATTGGGGAATATGGTTCCTGACTATAGGGTAAAAAATTCTGTACTTTTTTTTTCTCTTATAAATATAAATGCCGGTACTTCATTGATTGATCTAATTGCTCATGTATTTAACCTTTTCTTTCAGAATGCAGTTCCAAAATTTGGAACTTGTGTTGTGTTTCTTACCATATGCTAATTGATAGTTTAGAATATGTAGCTAAACATGCTACTTAGCTGGCAGGAAAGGGGTAAGCAGTTTGATTAAGCTGAGTATATATAATTCAGCCTTGCTTTCATCTGAAAATAGAAATTTACTTTGCTGTTGTGTGCATTGTTGCTGCAGCCAACATTCCATTGCTTTCAAAATGGTGAAAAGGTATTTGAGGTTGATTTATACGAATTGCGCATTGCTTTTGAACAGCTCTACAGGTAATTCATTTCTTCATTATGTTACTTTTTCGTGCTTATGAACATTTCGGAATGCAGTCGTATGTTAATTTTGACAGTTCTAGTTGAAGTTTTCTCTGAATGTGATCACTCTATATGTTAATTTTTATTTTTATCTTTCTGATATATGGATGAATTTCTATATCGTAGTTACTAAACCCTATTGTTGATGTGTACTTGCTACTGAAAGTTATGTCGTCCCAGTCGGAACCACTCAACCTACGGGTTCATCTGGGATGGAGGAAAGGAGAGCTGAACAACTTGTCATACAAGCTAAGAAAGAAGAGAATGACAAAGAAGTTGCAGGAGGGTTCAAATTGGGAAGTGGGAGGGCATTATCGCAACGGAAAGGTGCTGCGACCTTGTCACAACAGAGAGGTGGCCTTGTTGAGGCAGTTGAGAGTAGTACTGCACCTTCACTTCATGATGTGATGCAGGCTGTTGAATCTTTACCTGGAGGACGTTCTGATAGTCTTTGTGGTGGTATGCAAGAGGGGTGTTTAAAGGTCAGCCTAAGAAGAGAGTGATGTTTTCTAACATACAGGGTCTTTACTTCAAGGTTGCTTGGCTTCTTCGTGAAATTGCTAAGGAATAAGTTGGATGGATTCACTTCAGTTATGAAAATGCTGTTGACATTATTGCTTGGATTTGGTTGACATTATTGCTTGCATTTGGTTGACATTATGGTTTGGTCTTCTTGACATTATGATTTTGGAGACTTTTTTTTTGGGTCGTAATCAAAGATATTCATAGATACCCCCATAAACCTGAGGAACAGATAACATGGAGACACCAAAAAAGAAGCGAACAGATTCGAGAAAATTTCAAATTCATAAACAGCCCAAATTCATAAACCTCAGTTTTTATAAAAACTTTCAAAAATAGCCAAAATCATACCTAAATCATTTAAGGAAATGGGTCATGTCAACGGTGCAATACCTACCAACTTGTTCACCCGTTTTGTGTTTGCTCCTGTGATGGAAGGGTAAAGTTCCCCATTGCCTCGAAAACCATTGACTGGTCAACAAGTCAACTTTCTTTAGTGTGCGAGTGTGCCACTGTTAGTAATAAAAATTCTAGCAGACTTCTTTAAAAAATATATAACTTGCGCTCCAAGTTACTGATTTCTAAACAAAAGATTGTGAATTTGGGTGAGGAATATCTCTCAGGTAAATTCTTTTCTTGCCTCAGACTGGTGAGGACTTCACAATTTATCACAGTGCAATGTTGGTAGTTCTGGCCAAAATAAGTAGAAGGAAAATGAACTGTTTTCAAGCGGAATTGACTTTTACAGAACTCTACAGCAAAAAATCAACTCTAGAAAGACAAAAAAAAGGTTGGACTTCTATTTCTGCCTGGACAGAAGCTTCTGATCCGGGCTGGACTAGGTATGCCTATGTTGGACTGAACTATCCTCAATTTCAACTGCTAAGCTTCAGCAGTAAATCGATACCAAAGTTGAGTTTGGCAGAGCTTTAATCTATTTCGAGCCCTATGAGGCTTTTTGAATCGGCATAATTGCAGTCTTTTCAGTCTGAAAAGGGCAGAAGTGGTTGGACTTTAGCATTATTGAGCTGGAACTGCATTGTGGTACCTGTTCTGCTTGGTCAGGGCTCTCCATAAATTTGTTGAGGTTTTCATATTTGTAAAAAAAA